AAATTTGAGCCTCAAACAGTTAAATACTTTCTCTTATTAAAATATGAAGTGTTCATGATTAGGAAACTAGCTAGGTTCTGTATAATCTCTAAATTGGGTAAACATCAAGTTTAGTTAATAATGGTAAGGATAATAATAGCTATAATTTAATGATAAGCCAAACTGAATAAATGATGACTCAGCCATGTGAGATTGATAAATAATCCATATTCTCTAAATGACTCTTCGTTGCCAATAAAAAACTCAATCTGCCCAAACAGTGACATTTTTATGACAAAGTAGTATATCCTATAGGCTACAAAAATTGAATTTCTATAAACATAGTGGGATATTTAAAAGTTTTTATAGTCCCACGCATTTTTACAAAGTGCTAACAGATTAACTGTGGCAATACGAAAACTGCCCCCAAGTTCATCACCATCATCTTTGTACAACATTCTTTGTATATTCTTTACTAGTTTCTACCATCAAAGTAAATCTGCCTGTGTGAAAACTGGTTGCTTTAGCTTACCATTCAATACTGGCACTTTGTAGTGGCTGTTGCATAACTAGGCACTGTACCTACACCCTATTTAAATAAGACATTTTCCTTTTTAAAAAAACAAAACAAGGATTCTCACACCTTCCCATCTTGAGTGGATGGCAAGGGTGATGTAATTTATTTCAGAAATACTATACTGCATGTAAAAGAATTAGACACAATTTTATTACATTTAAGGTTCAAAGAGATGTGGCATTTTCTTAATGAGATCCTGAACTGACTTTGAGTTTAGAAATAGCTTGCAATACCTACGTATGTGTTACCTGATTGTTTTAACAGCTTCTTCATCTCTTTCCACATCAAGATCAGATGGATCCAGGAAGAACATTTTATCTTCTGGGGGAGATGGCTCTTCTGTGTCATCTAAGCCCCGACTACCCTCACTATTCAAGTCATTACTGTCAATGTCCATTGGTATATCTGTATCTGTTCCCAGACTGGAAGGTTCTGACAAAGTTTTAAACGAATTTCAGAGTTTTTTTTTTTAATGGGTTATCAATACATCTAAATACAGGCAGTATTCTGAATGTGAAAAAACAAGTTTTAAAACTCTTAAACTATAAGGAAAGACCTTTATGATTCAAGATAAAATATTTCTTAAAGAAGATACAAAATACACAAATCATACGCACAAGGTTAATTAATTTGATTTCTTAGAACTTTAAATTTCTATATGACAAAAGATACTATAAGCAAACTGAAAAATAAGTTGCCACCATTATATTATGGTCAACTGATTTCTGACATGCCAAGACAATTCGATGGGGGAAGAACAAATAGACTTGTTAATAAATGGTGCTAGGACAGCTGTATATTTGTATGCAAAAGAATGAAGTTGGACCCCTTCCTTAAACCCTACGTAAAAATTAACTCAAAGCAGATCATAGACCTAAAATGTAAGAGCTAAAACTACAACACTTGTAGAAGAAAACATAAAAGTAAATTTTCACGATCTTGGGTTAGGCAAGGCATTCTTAAATACAACACCAAAAACATAGGCAATAAAAGAAAAAAATAAATCAGACTTCATCAAAATCAAAGACTTCTGTGCTGCAAACAATACCTTAAGAAAGTGAAAAGACAGCCCACAGAATGAGAGAAAATATTTATAAGTCATATACCAGATAAGGGACTTACAGCCAGAATATTTAAAATCTCCTACAACTCAATAATAAAAACATAAATAACTTAGTTAAATAGGCAAAGGACCTGAATAGGTATTTTTCCAAAGAAGATATAAAAATGGCCAATAAGCACAGGAAAAGATGCTCAACATCAGTCATTAGGGAAATGTGGCCACTTCACATTCACTAGGACGGCTGTAATCAAAAAGCCAGACAATAACAAGTGGTAGTGAGGATGCAGAGAAATCAGAATCCTCATACACTGCTGGTGGGAATGTAAAATGGTGCAACTGCTTTGGAAAACAATTTGGTAGGTCCTCAAAATGTTAAAACATAGAGTTACCATATGACTATTCCAGTGCTACCAATTCCACTACTATGTATCTACCCAAGTGAATGAAAATAGATGTCCATGGAAAAATTATGGTCTAGTGTTCACAGTGGCATTATTCATAATAGTCCCAAAGTGGATGTATCTCAAGAGTCCACTAACTGGTGAATGGATAAATAAAATGAGGTATATCCCTGCAGAGGAATAGTATTATTTTTGTCGATAAATAAGAATCAATATTGACATATGCTACAATATGGAAGAACCCTAAAAACATTATGCTAAGTGAAAGAAACCAGTCACTATATATAGACTATAGACTATATAGACTATATTCTGTATA